CCCGGCAGATGAACCTCAGGATTAAAGGGTGGGAACCTACGTCCTGGGGACCTCACTGCCACTGTCCAAGCTTGCTCGGCCCCGGCAGATGAACCTCAGGATTAAAGGGTGGGCTCAGTTCAGCGCACGCTGGGTCTCACCTAAAAAATCCACTGCGCAGGCTCGAAGGGTTAATGACCTTTCCCAAATCTTCGCTCGCGAAGACTGGCCATTATTATTATATCTTTATTGCAATTTATTTGTACAGGGCCAGCATTTTATAAAGGAAATTGAATTGGATTAGATAGCAAGAGACATTTACCCATTATGCAATGGAAAGAGAAAAAAGACACAGCCTTGAAAAGTTCTGTGACTCATTTGCTGATTTCCTTTCTTACATTCTCAGTCCCACTTGGAAGTTTTCCTTCTCATATACCTGGCCCCCTCACTGTCGATTGCTTCATAGAGGTCTTTTTTATTCTCTGCTGTTGCATGCAAATAACCAAGGTAGGCCACACAGAGGCTAATTGTTATCAGTCCAAATGCCATCACAGGTTTGTTCTGAGAAGAAATAAAAAGATAGTACATGTTTTTAGTGAAAACTTTTTTCATTCAACTCAAACATTACATTACATTCTTCTATTTTAGATTAGAAAGTGAACAGTAAACTATTGTGACATCTGCAAAAATCATCACTGCCTTCTTGCAGATTGAATTTTTTGATAGCAAAAAGAATTTCCTCTCAAAAAGAAGATCCTTTCTGGAGACAGAACACCACATTGCCCAGTGCTCTGTATTTTGCTGGGCAGAAATGCTGCTTGAGCATGAATGAATAAGCCAAAACCAATTACTAAAGGTCATTACTACAAACTTCTAACAGAATTCACCTGGATATACTACTGGGACAATGCCCTCTGCTCCTACCAAGCAAACTCGATTATAGGTTTTGTATTATAATCACAAAATTTACTTCTATTATACGCATAAAATGTCATTCATTGCTGGGTTCTGCAAGTGCAAATAAAACCTCAAGTTCATTAACTTAATTATACAAGAAAAAGAAAAATCCAAAATCCCAAAAAGCTACCAAAAATCCTCTCATTTCATATCAAAGAAGTTTGCATTTTATGATTTGTTCCCTTTTAAATATTAAAAACAACTCCTATTACTTAACCTGTCAAATTACATGGGTAACATGTCTGTAAACAGACTTTCTGAAAGAAGCTTGACTAGGTACAAAAGAACCAGACAACACAACAGTGAAATAAGAGCTGCAATAAACAATGTAATGTTCTGGGCTCTTAACAATCAGAGTGGAAAAAAAAAATATTTTTAGTTACATTTCTGAGTGGTTTGCATGACAAGAGACTGTTATATAACACACACAGAATTGTGATCATTATTTTAAAGCAGCTGTGTCTCTTCAAGCATATTTAGCTTCTTGAGCATCTTACAGGTTTAATGAAAAGCTCTGGGTTCACAGCTCGGAAGAGCATAGTTGTCTGGACACTCCTCAGTCCTGGTTTTCTCTCTCCAGGTGTTTCATTTTCATTGGAAGGTTTGGTGGAAGACATGTTACTTAATATTGAATACTTCCTAAAAGCAGAATGAAAAACAGGTGTCATTTTTGTAAAAAACATAAAAGAGCTACATTCACTGAATAGGAGTTCACACTCAATTTGTCTTCCTTCAGCATGAATTTTAGTTTGTGTATATAGTAATGATTGCCTTCGGTGTCATCTAACATTCCCAGTTTAAGCACACCAATTTTCAATCCTGTTAATTTTGTGCACCCTAAAATTAACTTTTGGAGATGCACATCTTCATACAGCAAATCTGAATCTTCTGATAATGGGCTGAGGGTTTTTCACTTGCCTTTGGCTAATGCTTTGGCTACCTGTGGACTGAGCAGTATCAGTCTTCAGACCACTGGCTAAAAAGACAGTGCCAGGAAACATTGTTTTGGTTTTTTTTAACCCTTATATGCATCAGGACAGCCCACACCCTGCTGTAGTACACCCACCCAGCAGCCCCAGGACTCAGGTCTCACTTTTGCACACATTGGGCAGGTCCAAGACGCCTCGGGTTCAAACTGAAAGAGAGGAAGTCTAGGCTAGTTAGAATACAGAAGAATTAGAGCATGGAAGAAACTCCTTACTGTGAGGGTGGTGAGGCACTAGAACAGGTTGCCCAGAGAAGTTATGGATACCCCATCCCTTCAAGGCCAGGTGGGATGGGGCAACCTTTTCTAGTGAAAGGTGTCTCTGCCCATGCCAGGGAGGTTGGAACTAAATGATTTTATGGTCCCTTCCAACTCAAACTATTCTGTGATTCTATGATTCTATGCCACCTGAGCAAAGGTGGCAAAACGCCCTTGGCTAACGCTGCTGACTGAGGGGCAGAGGCGACACGGTGCTGGGGACCTCCCTGGGAAGGGCAGCGGAAGGGCAGACGCCTCCCGGCGGGCGGCGAGGGGGCTCCTGGCGTCACCACCGGGACAAAGGGGGCAGTTTGGCAGGGGAAAGGCCCGGCAGGGACTCCCAGGACATACAGGACTCCCGGGACACGCGGGACTCCCGCCGTCCCCGCCGCCTCAGGGAGCAGCGGAAGGAGGGACCGGGAGCAGCGGAGTAACGCCGCGCGCGCCCCCACCGCTACTCACCGCGCGCCGCCAACGGCTCCCCCCCGCGGGGCGGGGCGGGTAGGGCTGCGCCTGCGCATTGGCGCCCCCTCCCGGGCGGAGGGCAGTGGCGCAGCGGGAGGGGCGGGACAGGGCCCGGGCTCGCCCGTCCTTTCAGCCGTCCGGCGGCGGGAGGGGACCAGGCAGCGTGTACCCATCGGGCGGGGCTGTTGGCTTGCCTCCTGTATGAATCATAGAATCGTAAAGGTTGGAGGAGACCTACAAGATCATCCAGTTCAACCGTCTACCCAGCGCTACCACTGTAACCCCTAAACCACTAAACCATATCACCCAGCGCCAGATCCAGGCGCCTCTTGAACGCTTCCAGGGATGGTGATTCCACCACCTACCTCCTTGGGTAACCTATTCCGACGCCTGACCACCGTAACAGTGAAAAGTTTTTTTTCTAATGTCTGATCTAAGTCCCCCGTGTCTCAGCTAAAGGCCATTTCCTCGTCCTCTCACTGCAGGCGTGGTAAAAGAGACGATGAGGCTCCCCTTGAGCCTCCTCTGGGCTAAACACTCCTAGCTCCCTCAGCTGTTCCTCATAAGACATGTTGCCCTTCCCAGACATGCTCCAGCACCTCAATGTCCTTTTTAAAGTGAGGGGCCCAAAACTGAATGCAGTGCTGAATAAGGAGGTGGGGGAAGGAGCTGGCTCTGTGGGCAGAGGAGCCCTTCACTCCTCAGTGCCCGGGCATGGTCACACCAATCCCGAGAGCTGCCCGGGATTCATCCAGCAGTGCAAATGCTGGCAATCAGGCTGTCAGCAATTATGTTTTAAATGTGGGAAATGGAAAAGGAGGGGTAGTAAGTTTTGCCCGTCTGTTGATCTCAAGTGCCAGGATGGGGAAAGGGTGTTTCATGTGAAGACGGGTCTCTGGAAGTGCAGCTGGTTGAGCAGAAAAATACATTGGATTTTAAACATTTGATTTCTGTTGTGTAGATCCAAACTCAAGACTTTGGGCATCTGAAAACTCCTGGTTATGTAAATGCTGCTTTGTGGTGGTGTTTTGTTTCCTTTAATTTGTAAACAGTAAAATTAAGAAAATTGCCCGGAGTCCAGAGGAAACAAAGCCCACCTGATCACCTCTGACTGCTCATGCCACCCTTTCCACTTCCACTGACTTCAGTGCCATCGGGCAGTTTCAGCCCCTTTAGAAAGTAGAGGAGAAATTTGAAATTTTGGAAAAAACAATACATGGAGGGTAGGGAGGGACACAGATCAGTGTTCCCTAGGTAACCAGCTGGCAGAACCAAGATATGATGGATAATATTACAGACTTATAGCTGCAGCCAGCTGGAGGATTAGCACATATGTAATTCTGAGCTCACCAACTCCAGTTCACACTTCTCCATACCTGGAGGGTGTGTGAGAGGACTTTGGTGGAGCATATTGCAACCATGGGCACAGAAGGGGACAAACACAAGTCTTGGCAGATAGCTGGCTGAACATGAGCTAGCAGTGTGCCCAGGTAGCCAAGAAGGCCAGTGGCATCCTGGCTTGTATCAGAAATACTGTGGCCAGCAGGACTAGAGCAGTGATTATCCTCTTGTACTCAGCACTGGTAAGGCCACATCTTGAGTGCTGTGTCCAGTTCTGGGCCCCTCTGCTGGTTCAGTGGAGGGCAATGAAGATGATGAAAGGTCTGGAGCACAAGTCCTATGAGGAGTGGCTGAGGGAGCTGGGGTCTTCCAGCTTGGAGAAAAGGAGACTTGGGGGGATGTTATTGCTCTCAACAACTCTTGAAAAGAGGCTGTAGCCAGGTGGGGGTCAGTCTCTTTGCCTAAGTAACAAGTGACAGGACAAGAGGAAGTGGTCTCAAGTTGCATCAGTGGAGGTTTACATTGGATATTAGGAAAAATTTCTTCTTGGAAAGGGTAGTCATGTGTTGGAACAGGCTGCCCAACAAGGACTCAAAAGGCATGTGGATGTGGTGCTTGTGGATATGGTTTAGTGGTGAACATGGTGGTGCTAGGTGTATGGTTGCACTTGATAATCTCAGAGGTCATTTCCAACCTTAATGATTCTATGAAATGTAGAGGTATCCAGATACTCAGAACCACTTGCTCCATGGTTTGCTTTTTTTCAGTAATCAAGCTACTGTTTTTTTTTTTTTAAAGATGGCAGATTAATAGTATATTGCAGGTTAACTTGTCCCTTCTAAATCCAGATGGAGTATCTAAAGAATTTTTTTTGGTTATGTGACTAAATATAAGATGAGAAAATTAGTAGGGAAATAAGTTTTGGTGTCAAGAGAGGATTGAGTGGTATGTCTGGGTTTTGTGTCAACATTTAATTCACAACATACCATCTGCTAATCTGGTAGCTATTGTTTTGGCAGCATATGCCACACAGCTGATTTTGTTTGGAAACTATTGAGTAGGAAATCCAAGTGAAGCTTGCTGCTCTTGTTTGTTTTCATTTTTGTCTAATTGAAAGAAGTCAATAGGAGGTTTTTGCATGAGCCTTCATTTTTGGGAAGGTAGCTTGATTTTCTTGAGGGGAAGGGGGATTTTTTACAGTACCGTAAGAGATTATCTGCATACAGCTCCCAAGCAATTTTCCTCCCCACATTTTATATGGGAAGGCAAAACATTTATATCACCACACTGAGAAAGCACACTTGCTTATCGGCACATGCACCCCTTCCCAGCAGTTACACCATCCATGCAGATAAAAGTTCTGATCCAAAGTCAGTCAGGGTCATGATAGTATTTTCCAGGTTGTGGTAGGATGGGTTTATGTCAGAACACGTTTGCCATATAATGGTGGCAAGGACTGTTAGATTGGTGCTAGTTGTTGGGCACTTCCCATCTTTCTTATGGAGGACAGGTAAGTCCCAGACACCCTTGTCAGGGAAGGATTCGACTCTGTAAAAAGAACACCATTGGCCAGAGAGAAAATATTCTCCATGTGAAGAGCTGTGAGATAAGGCTTTTTGCATAGAAAGAGAAGCAAAGAGGGACATAGAAGAGAGTTTGGGTTTTGACGTGAATGTTGGTACTTGGCAGGTGTACTAAGCATGTTCCAGCTAGCCAGGTTAACCATACAGTGATGAAAAGCTTGGATTGCTTACTGTTTCTAGTTTTGCTTTTTGACTGTGGGAAAGTGTTGTATTTTATCTTTAATGTGAATATTTTGTTCCTATCATCTGACCCAACAGGATGTTGAAATGTTCAATCCATCAGGGCTTATAAAGCTGTTTGGCATCTTTTTATAGAAGAGACTCTATAAAGAGTAGAATAGTAAATATCTGTGGAATTTCTGAGTCACCCGTCGTCTAATATCTGAGTATCTCTTCTGAAAAATAACCACACAAAAAACCCTTCCTTTTCCAAACCTAAGTCCGTTACTGAGATTTATTTTCCTTTCAAATAAATTCCTTTGGGATTTTGCATTCAAAGGATTCTGCTGTATGCCATATTCATTCAGAACGTAATAGCAGTTTCTGCTTTTCTTGAGTCTCACATCCCCTTATCGTTTGAGCTGCAGAAGAGCCTCTGTAGGGAACAGAGCAAACCCGATGCTGTGCCCCGCAGACATCGTTAGCATGCGACAGCCAGCCTATTGCAGTCCGGGGAGCAGCAGCAGTGCCTCCACATCTTTGCTGATTGACCTCACAGCTCCTTCCTATTTCAAGTACCGCACAGGAACAGAGCTTCATATCGTCTTCAGCATAAAGATAGGGCGCCTCAAGCTACTGATAAGATTATCCCTACTTTAGAAACACAGTTACAGAGCTGTTGTGGGAAGAAAAAATTCTTTTTGCATCAACAGTGGGACTTCACTGGTATGACTTGTACTGAGGGGCAACTTTCATCACATGTTTGTTAGGGTTTTCATACGTGAGTGTAAACTGTGTGTCTGCATTCCTGTTTTACCTGATTTTTAAAATGTTTTAAACACTGTCAGTTTCACAATATTTTAATTAGAGTTGATAACTGGAAATTTTTTTTTTTTTTGTCCTGAACAAGTCTAGGGGAGAAGGGAAAGCAAAAATTAGGAATGAGAAGTACTCCCCCTTGCTCACAGCTAATGATGAGGGAACCCATTGTTGCACTGAGGCATGTGCAACAGTATTGTCATAATAAGGACATAACTACAGAAGAAAAAACAAACAGACCAGCTAGACAGGGGTGGCATTGAGAGCATTCTGTGTGGTTGTTGCTCCGCTCATGTCATTCTCAAGAGTCCTTATGCTGCTTTTCAGCAGCTCTTGCTCATTTCTGTCATTCCCACTGAAAAAAAGGCAGTTTTCAGACAGCAGCATGCAGTGGTTGGGACCCCTACCACTGACAATCCAAAACAGTTTTAAGGCAATTTACATTTTAAAAATGAAAATCTCTTAGAGTGAATCTTCTGTGTTTCATAACATTTTGTGTATGTCTTCTATAATACTTGATAGCCAGCTGTGTCTCTGAGAGACAAACAAGCCTTCCAGCAAAGATTAAAGCAATCATTATTCTTCAAACAAAAATTATTCTTCTGATTAAGCTTATAAATTTTTTTCAACAGAATTCAGTATGGAAGGAAAAAGACACTTTCTTTGGTTCTACTTTCATTAATGAGTGAGCAAATTGTTTCTAACTGGGAACAGAATAATACCAAAACTGAAAACATCCCCTCTGGAAAGAAAAAGCTAGTTTCTACTACAAAGGAAGAACAGAGAAACATGTGCAGTACTGAATTTTCTCATTACAACAATATGGAGCCAGATACCTTAGAGTGGGTTTAAAGACAAACTTGAGCTAAGACTGCATCTCCAAAAAGGAGGGGCAAGGGGAGACCTGTTTGCGCTTGTAGTTGCTCTGGTCTTCCTTGCGTGCGATCTCAGAATCGCTCAGCCTTGGAGTAGGCCAATTTTTTGCTCAACTCCCTAGTCCAGCTGAAAACTAATATTGCCAGAAAACAAACAAACAAAAAGTATTTTTTTCAGCTGGATGAGTGAGATGATCTGATGT